TATAGCCGAGTAACAGAAGGCCGTATGCTGCGGATGGGAGAGTCTGTGATGGTCCCCAGCAGAAGGGCTGTAAATGACGTCTACCTTCGTCGACCACCTTAGTCCCGTATTCTACAGGAAAGTCATTACTAACTGAGGCGACACTAGCAGTGAACCATCTGAAAAACTTTGGTGCAGAGCTGTCTACCGAAACTGCATGAAGATATCAAATGACCAAATATGAGATACCTCCTTCATTTCACTACTGGTTGGGGATAGTCTATATAGATATAGCTGGGTAGAACTATAATGAATAAAAATGTGGGGAGGGGAAAATCTACCCCCACGCAGCTGTTTTCACACCTGTCCACTATTACATGAATCCTCTTAGAGGCCAGTGGTCCTACCAGTAGCTGTGGGCACTTGTGATGGCCAGCCCATTCCCCTGTCCCCGATTCCACTTCCCATATAGAACTAAAGTTCAGGTCATGTAGATTTTTTACAAGGGAACAGTGACGTTACAGCCAAATATCTTCCTGATTCCAAGGAAATTCAATGACTGGCAAGGTTAGTTAGTGTGTGAACCCTTACAGCATCGATCACGTTGTGATGGCTGACCAAGGGACTACTAAATAGGACGCTTAAAAGAGGGGAGGGGCTCTGCAACACAATAGTTGTTTGATAGACTTTTGATATTGGTAAAGGGACCACTCAGGGGCTCCGCCATTGTACCTCTAGTCGATGCCAGTAGCGCTTAAGCCCCCAATACGTATTCTGCCCGAGTATTATGCCTTCTTGCGGTACTAACTTCCGTCAAGCAGATGAATTATTTCAAACCGAATTTGGAATTTAAACATTGTTTCAAAACTAATCTCCCCTTGACAGACGTTGGAAACCCCAGTCATTAGTACCAACACAAGCTATGTTGTGAACGCGTGATTGACAGCTGCGAATCCATTACCTGATCATGAATGAGCGTTGTCAAGCCCCACGCCATTTAGTGACCGTCCTATAACACTTACGTGACAAAAGTGCACAACTGCTATTTGAACTACCTTATCCAACAACCACCTTACCTTTTGAACACAGTAGTGCGAGAGATGATTCAGTATGACAAAAAATTCCAACTTGGTTACTCAAGTATGTCCATACGGACGGAGATAGCGATGTGCGCCCTCTAGAAATAACTGGTACTTAAATACAAGAATTTGTTCTGCACTTTACTACTAATATGATGCCCTCTGATGCACGTTTATTGGGAAGATTTTTATGCGGGCAATTGAGGAAATCATCAAAAAAATCATTAATGTTAAACTTTACACACTTGCTGGAAAAGTGGACTACATTGTGCTGCTCTGGTGGTTCATTCATTTGGTAAATAATATGTTGTAAGCTTGACAGTTTGATATACGTCCACATTAAGTCTTTTGCACCTGTTAGTTTTAGCAAAACTGAATTATGACTTGGATTGGAGAAAAATAAGTTGTCTTATGGGTCCAAAACTCGAGCAAGTCAGCACTCCCATTTTTAAAAAAATAGAGAACGAATATGTACATCCGTGAGTCTGCAGATTCAAAAGAATAATATATGCGCGATGGCGCTTGACAAGGGGCACATGTCATCTGTGATCCAATGACCTAATGCTATTAATGAATTGAGGATGTGCCTTAAATTATTGGTGTTCTACAGAATGAAAGGGGATTAGAATCCAAAATATTCTGTGAATTTGTATTGGAAGTTCTCTACCATTTCGAAAAAGCACTTACCATTTGAAGGGGGACATTGTGTCTATCAAAACCCGCACATTTTCTTCATGTTGACAATGCATAGACTAAGAGGTGAGAAATGTTCATCCAAGTAGAGGGAGCACAAGCTTAATAAGGTCCATTGAGAACCGCATCACTCGAATAAGCTCCGCCTGACACTTTCAGAATGCAGAAGTTGTAGTAACAAGTACTTCATGAGCGACTTCTATCTGCTACTTGGAGAGGGATGTTTCTCCCTTCAATGCCTTCTTTTGTTCACTGACGCATAACCCAGTTTTTCTCTTTCCAACATTTATCAGCCTGGGCTTGAAATGGGTTCGAAAAACATTGATACACAACCATTCCTTTTCGACCTCTCCATCTCCTACTTCCTTGCTCACTTCACCATCGTTATGAAGTCTGCGTGAACTAAAGCATACGAGGAGAGTTCTTGATATCTCTCATTAGGTATCCTCACAGACGGAACCTTTGGGGCTTTCTTGAAGAGGGGTAGGTAGCATTGGAGACATTACTGCTTTAGAACTCAGTGTATTTGATGAACTTGACTTAATCGGTCAATGCAGTAACCAGAGAATGGAGACTTGATTAATAGCAAAATAGTTTTTCTTGGAAAACCTTACTGAAAAGGGATCAAAGTCCCCTTTGCCAGTACCTATTAAGACATCTCAGCACGATGGCATGGGAGTGTGCAAGCATTATCGCTTTACTCTGACCTGTAATTTTTCGGTGACTAGAGCAACCTATAGTCTAGCGTCACGATTTACTTGATCAAGGGTATTATGTTTATGCTTCCGGATGTTCACTAATCAGCCGACATTTGAAAGCGGAGCTTTGTAATCCGCCTAATCATTACTACTTCGGTCGCTGGTGTAAAGGCAATATCTTTTATTGCGCTAGAAATGAAATGTGGCCTCACTCACTAACCTGCTGATAGTAAATAGCAGAACCCCATGATCTGTCTGGTCACCCCTACGTTGGTAGTTGTGTTTTTCCTCCGCAGTGATCTACAAACCACTTGCAGCTACTTTCCTAGAATAAAACACGTTACCGAAGGTACCGTTGCATCATAGGTAAACAATGGAGATAGCTTAACATTGATCCACCCGTTTATCGAAACTTTTCAACTAAGAATGTGCGGACATTCAAGGGGAGAGACAATTTATTTACAAGTCACAAAACAGAAGATTGATGAGATTCATTGGGGAGTGCTTCAAATTCTTTAACAGAGCAAAGAGAAATGTCATTCACACATTGTTAATAGTAATACTTACGGGCACTTGAGCAGACGGAAATAGAATAGCGGGAGTGGAAAACGCTACCACATTAGAGAATAGCGAAGCTAGTTCATTACATTTACTTTCTAACGCAACGACAATCAAACGAGTCGGGCTACTTAAAATCATCATTTCAAACATAGCACTTCAAATCTATCAGAGATGCTGAAGAAGTCGCAATAAATTCAACTCATGTTGACAAGAGAATTCTAGCTCAAGGTAACAGATGAGTAAGGATCTATAAACGGGTGCTGAAAATAGGCAAAGTTGGACAAGCAATTAGTAGCCCCCTTGGATGTATGTACCCGAACGATATCCTTTCCTTTCCAATTGCCATTTATCCCACCTGTCAGTCAGACCAGAAACCAGTGCAAAATATTTTGACTTCCGTAGTGAGTTAACAATCGTCGCAAAACGGGGGATGACGTGAATACATGGTAATTTTCATTACGCAAAAAAGTACAGCGCAGGTTTACTTAAGACGCAAATTGGAGGAAGTCCGTGGAAGGGTACTCGCCATTGGCGTCCGCAACATATTTGTCGGCGCCTCGATCCAGCAGGAGCTGGGCCATGTCGCGGTGCTGGCAAAAACAGGCTGAAAGAAGGCGAAGAGACATCTCAATATTTGTAGGGATAGCCAACCATGACATTTAAAAAAGGTCAAAGCAAGATGTAGTAAGGAAACCACTGCAATGTGCAAAGCAGATTAATACGTGGTAAAATCAGTTTTCCATTACATACAACTGCCATAAACTACATAACTTTCCTCTCACCAGTGTTTTGCTATTTATTAATCACCGAGTCTTTCAGCTGAAGTGGTAAAAAATTTTCATAGTGTCATCTGTGGACTAAAGTCCTGTAGAAAATTAAAGGGTATCTAAAATCCCGATCTAGAAAGTACATTTGTCTTCACTACCTAAAAGCCTGATATTTTATGCTGTTCCTCCGAACATTTGAGGCTTCAGTAACTATTCTTTTTTCGTAGCTGAACAACAGTAATAACCACTCTGAAGGCGTTAATATCACTGTTCAACGATGCAACTGTACTTTTCAGGTGGGATATTCATATTCCCATAGTGACATTTCCGAGTGAATAGGTAAAAAAGTGAAGGTCTTAAAATCCCACATTTGAAATACCAGAACCCTCTTCCAAACGTCAATGACGCGCACCTATAGACAAGAACGAGTAAAGAAGGTTCAACTTTAAATAATGATCTTTCTTAAGTTATAAATGTCAACACTTACTTGAATCTACACAACTGACCTGGTGTTAACTTCACCAGCTAACGCTTAACTACACATATAGGTGTTGATTGATAGACCACAGGTTGTGGTGATGAGAGCATTGATAAAAAATGAACTTACCATAGTGAAGTGGCGTTTGTTTATCCTTGTCCTGAGCATTGATGTCGGCTCCACATTCGATTAAAGCCACCGCAATGTCATAAAAGCCTCGATCAACAGCCCAATGCAAGGGAGTCAGTTTCTGAAATGAATTATGTGCTTTAATTTTAGTGGCTTCAGCAGTTCGACACATCCTACTGTTTCAACTTGAGTAGCAGTCTCGATGGCCTGAAGTTTTTTGCCACGCTAGAATGTGGGTTGATAATGCAAAATTAAGACCGCATAAAGGGGAAATGGCATAGGATTGCTGTCTTACAAAGTTCACTCAGTCCAAGAAGTCAATAACTTAAAATACCATTCAATGAAATCGCTAGAAGAAGACATGTTAATGGATGTCCATTTGGGTATATTATCGGAAAAAAGGGAGTTCACCCAGTGAACACAACCTGGACACAAAATTTTCCCATTACCAAAAGGGATCCAGTAGCATTGCTTTAGACTCAGAATTGTGAAGTGTTCCATACAAAGTGACAGGTTTATAATTATGAAGTTCTTTATGGTTAGGCAGTAATGTGAAATACGGAAAAAATTTTGTGATAATTTTTACACAATATTTAAAAAGTTATTTATCTACTATAAGTGCTGCAAGTGATGAACATTTCAGATCCCTTGCCAAAATGAAAGGCGAGTTATTTGGACAAACACATTGATCAGTGGACTATGCTGTGTTTGGATGCTAGAGGGTGCAATGCACGGCCACATCACAAATTTAAGTAACTAAAAGGAGTGATCTTACCGGGTAAACTGTCATACATTAATAAAGGAAGTTCACAGAAATTTGTAGGCTTTTGTAGACCAAGAAAGGAAGAGACAAAAAAGTGGCAACCTGTGCAGTAACTTCTTGGTCTGTCACGTCTGCAACCATTATCTGGTGAAGCCATCGAATTATAGAACGTTTTGAAGCAAAAGAGAACTTATTTAAAATTCCTCACCAGACCCAAGAATTGACAAAAATTTAATCCCATTAGAACAATAACGAGTAATTCTACAAATTAACGGCATAAGCTCTTAAAAAGACCGAATGTTCTGAAGTAAGACGACCCATCGCTAAAGTGCATAGATCTCTTCACAAACCTTCGCATATGCTGCAAGGCTTCACAGGATTATGTGCTGACTAACAAGCAACCCTCAGATATAAAGAGTAGTTTG